TTCATGCCGTGACGATTTGGAGAAGAGCATCGGCGTCATTATAGACCCCATGTTGATCTGGATTATTACACTGCTGTTTGTAAGTTCATGCAAACGTAATCTCCTCTCGTTTCTGTGGGAGTCGGAAAAACTCTTTGTATGCAGAAGTAGACGATAAAAATGCCACGAGAAAGGAAGAAAACGAAATTTGGGAAAGATATCATAGTTAGTCATGACTTTTCTCCAATCAATCATTCTATTGACGAATATGCACCAAACAATAATTGATCTTTATTAACCAATCCATATATTGATCTGAATCAATTCATACTCAAAGAGCTTGATCTAGGGCTGGTATTGGGGATAAGGTATATATTTTGGGGAGTTTATTTCTGTGTTTTGGGGGTCGTCGGGTTTTTGTTGGGGGTTCAACGTCTGTCGTCTTTGTAGAATTAATTAATCCTTCTCTTCAGATCTAAATCTGACATTATCAGTCGGAATCTTATACATCGAGCAAGTAATATTAGACGGCATTTCGTAATAACGATCAAATGAATTCTCCTTCTGTGATGTTACAAAGAATTGGCTTTATGTTTTTTTGGGATGAAAGAGTAGCGATATTGATTAGGCGCACATTGGCGAGCAACTCAACGAGCATCATTCTGATCTATTTGCGTGGTCAGCCATAATTAAGCCAGCCCAGACGGGAACGGGGCTCTCTGATTTCCTCATACAAATTTGTCTGGCAGTTGTCCAGATCTCCGGGGCAGGCGAGTATCTGTATACATGTATATAATAATATATAATACATGTAGAGATATACTCCACCATGTCTACATCAGAGCCGCGCACTGCAGCCGTGAGGTCAAGCTGCCAGTGGAGCTTTCTTTTCCTTTTTTCCTTTTTTTTTCTTTCTTCTTCCTGTTTATTTTTGGGGGTTTTTGGCTTTGTTTTGCTTTGTTGTTTGTATGTTTGTGGTTGGATTTTTTTGGTTTATGTTTGTTGAGTTTTTTGTTTTTTTGTTGGTT